ACCACTCCTGGCACTGATGCTTCTGCCCTTCTCTTTACAGCACTGGATAAGCTTTATTTTAAGAGAGCGGTTTTCTCCCTGAGAGTGTCAGGAGGTTGGCGCTTAACAGTTATTACGTCTAGCAGAGCTCCAGATACCAGCCGCCGGCTAGTGATTTTTCCCCTCCACACTGTCATGTTGGTGGAAGAAGTGGGAAATGTTATGGTTATTATTAATAATTTACTCATAATAACACATAACAAATGAGATTTTTACAAGGTGTTCACTGGTCAGAATCGTAATAACGAATAAATATACCCCTCGGGTTAATGTCTCCAGTAACCTTTACTGAATGTTCACCTTGTTTAAAAAAGGGCTATTGTTGAGGCTGTTACTCACACCATATATCAATTAATCATGAAACTAATCTAGTTCTGGTAAACAATTCATGTAAAGCTCTTAGCTTAATTACACGTTTCATAAATATAAATAATTTTGAGCTATCATCTGGGTTTATTGCTGCTGAGGTTTTTATTACTGCTCCTAGTGCTGAATATGAATAAGAGTCACCGTAGAGTATATGCTGTTCTTTGCTTCTTTGTTCGTGGTGACAATAACGGCCTTGGAAAAGAGCTGTCTGTCTGTACTACTGACTTCCGTTCCAGTTGTAAGAGCTATGATGAGGACATGATTGGCTTAACTCAGTGTGGAAAGATTGTTTCCTTAGGCCCTGTGTTATAATTTCCTGTCTTGTAATTATCTCTTCCACATGATTACACCAATGTGCACAGCATGCAGTCATATGATGAGCTTATTCCTCTGGACATGCCTCCTTGTCCAATCACAAGATGTGCAGCCCTCACCCTCAAAGGTTAGGTGTGAGAAATGCAAAAGGACAGTTTAAGTGAGAGCCACTGCGTGGATGACTGAACTCTTTTCATTCTACCAAACATTCAATCTGGAAGAGACGACGCTTTTCAAATCTTCAAATGCTGAGGTGAATTCTTGGAGACACGACTCCCACTGGTTCCTGTACAAATTTAATCAGCAGTTCGTTTTAAGTTTCCTTGAGCAGCAGAAATGAACTTGATCAACCACCAATCGATTACAGAAATGCAAACCACACGACAGACGAAAAAGGTTCATTTGCACCGACAGACTATGTAGCAATAGCTTTGAATTTCTGATAAAAAAAGTTGCTGAAACGATATAAATTCACTGGTATCGAATTAAAAGTAATGAAATGGGAACAGTCAGCTCTTGTCCTTCTAATATTGTAGAACCCTTGACCCCACGAATGGTCAGTTATCTGGTCTATCCATTTTTCAAATATTTAACTTGTTAATAAAGGCCCTAATACTTTATTAACTTTATTAAGGGTCCTAATACTCTGGCATTTACTGTTGGCAACTGATTGAACTACTGAGGCATGA